TGGGGATGATGGGAGCCGCAGTCTTTTGTGGCCCTGCTGGTCGGTGGATGAAAAGCTCTGGAGGAGGGGAGGAGGGGCAGTGCAATCCAGGCACGCAGCGTGGGACAGAACAATGGGCGTTGTAGTCCTCTCCCCTCCAGACCCCGTTAACCCCCCCGACTCCCCAGATCAGCCTCTTTTGGAAAGTCCGGAGGAAACGGCGATCAGGGGGGGGGAGAGGGGGCTGTTTTCAAACGGACAAGCAGCCCCCCCAACCCCAAACGGGAGGGGGAAAAACGGCACACCCGGAAGTATCTCTGATGGGGGAACCTTTAGGGTGTGACACACACGAACACAGCCTCGCTCTTCCGGCAGCGGAAATCGCCGCTGGGCGAGTGAGGACGCTCTGCCCTTCCCACTCTCTATGGTGGAGAGGGGGCGAGGCTGACGGCGTTCTAACGCTCCCTGAATGGAGGCGCTCTCTCTCCTCCCGCGTCTCTATGGTCAGGCAGTGTTTCTCAACCTTGGCAACTTGAAGATGTCCGGACTTCAACTCCCAGAATTCCCCAGCCAGCGAATGCTGGCTGGGGGATTCTGGGAGTTGAAGTCCGGATATCTTCCAAGTTGCTAAGGTTGAGAAACACAGATAGAATCATAGAAATAAAATGTGCATCTCGTTGTGTGTTTTGATTATATTGGGGTGGGGGGGCACCAACAGGGGTGGAAACCCCCAAAACCATCATCCTGGATTCCCAGTGGCTTTGGGAAAGACTCTAATGAAGCCCCCTCCCCCCCCCAAAGCACTGGACTATGAGTCCCATCTTCCCCAGCCGTGTGAACACAGTTGCCCACTGGATATGAGCCCTTTGCAAAGGGTTTGGAACCACCGCACCCATGCTCCCCAGCTGCCCCCTCCCCTGCCCAGGACTGCCTGGCATACATACCCCCATTCTGGGTGGCAGCCCTTCTGCCCATTTTTCTTCCCTCCCCCCCAAAAGTCCAGGTGGCCCAATCCCTCCCAGGTGCAGCACACGGAAGGCGTCACGCGTGGAGGGTGTGAATGCACGGATGAGCCGTGGTGACACGTGTGTGTGCTTGAGAGCCTGGAGGCAGCTCCTGGGTGTGAACCCACGGAAAATCCATCCTTAGGGCTGGGTGGGAGGCAGGGAGGGGCCCCTCTGGTGGCTCTTCAGATTTGGAGCCCACCCTGGTTTTAAAACGGGGCTGAATTTTGAGCGATCGCTCACACACAGGAATGAGGTTGTGTGAATCCTGCCCATCTCTGGAGGAGGAAAGGAATAAAGCACTCTCGGTCTCCGATTCATCCCTGCACCCCAAGCCGGGACCGTTTCCAGGGCCTCTGGATATCCCTCAAGCAAGCCATTGGACCCGAACTGCAGAACGAGTCGGCTTTCACACCCATCACCCCCAATTTATAGAAGATACCAATGGTTCTCCCTTCCAGGATCCATTTTTTAAAAGAAACCTTTCCCACCCAACTCCTGATGCTTTAAGCCAGCTGTGAAAATGAGGGAACCTCATGTAGATGCCCACATCGGCCGACTTGTGGGGGGTGGCATCTGATCCATCTTTGCTTCGGATCCTTGTGGAA